AGGAGCCAGATGACCAAGATGCCCCAGATGAACATGAGTCGCCTCCACCTGAAGATGCCCCATTGTACCCCCATTCACCTGGATCTCAGTATCAACAGAATAATCATGTGCATGGACAGCCATATACAGGCCCAGCAGCACATCACATGAACAACCCTCAGAGAACTGGCCAACGAGCACAAGAAAATTATGAAGGCAGTGAAGAAGTATCCCCACCTCAAACCAAGGATCAATGAAATGCACATAATTAACTGGTTCCATCAAGACTGTGCACCCAGGCCTTACAGTCCAACCTTTTTCTGTGTCTGGCTAATATTTAAAACTAGAAAAATTATTCCTAATCAACATGGAGTGGAGAATTTATTCACTGTCTTATCTGCAGAAATTTGCTGTCAATATATAACCCGCCTGCAGTGGAAAGTGTATAGTGTTTTGTAATAAATGGCCTGATGCTAATGTGTAAATGGCAAAGGTGTATATAGTATATTAATGATGACTGTTAATTCTTAAGCAAGAAACTTTTTTCTTGTTGAGACTCACAGATCTACAAAAACTACAAAAGTTAATTTTCTTGTTATACCCACTGCACTCTGCAACCAGTGTTGCCTGCCTCATGGCAGTAGAATCAGCTCCTTTACAAAAAAAAAAAAAAAAAAAACAAAAACAAAAACAGCAGCAACAAAACAGAGCCCATCCATGTCAGCTACACCAATAGTTTCATGTTAATTCTTTGCCACTGGAGTTAATTTTGCTATGAGCAATGTAAGGCTGGTACCCTTTAAATTATTTGGTTGATGTGGAAAATTGGTGATGTAACACTGTTCCTAGGTTTTTTTCATTGCCTTTTTATTCTGACACTAGGTTAATCACTTTGAAGCTATAGTTAAGCTGTAACATTTAGCATGGCTTCACACCAAGTTAGTGTAGCCAATGAGGAAAAAGTTACCATAATGACAGCAGTTGTCCGAGAAGTGACAGCTGTATTACTCAGAGCTTTTACTTCTTACACCTAGAATATTAAAATATTAAACAAGGGGAGAAATGTGACAAGCAGGCTGTTTTCAGTTGCACATAGGTTCCTTATATATAATGTTTGACAGTTCAATCTCTGGGTGGGATAAAGAACACTTAAGTATCAGTAATGGGAATTTTAAAAGATTTAAAACAAATATGCAAAAATGTGCTATGCCAAGATGCTGGAGCATAATAGAAGACTGTATTTGGTGTGCTTGTTTTACTTCTTTGGTGGACTATTAGGTGAATCTTCTAAAACTTTCCTTCTGCTAGATCCCAGTGACATGAAAGTCATCAGAACCCCATGGTACTTGGAGTACCTCTGTGCACCAAGATAGCTGGCTGATTTTCTGCTCAGTCACAATTTTACTTGAAAGCAAGAATTGTCCTAGCTCCTTTTCCATTATTCCAGAAAGTCTAACATTCAAAGCAGGGTCTAATTAAAAAAGAAACTACTGGTTAGTTAATATAATTGAGATACCACAATTTTAGAATAAACATTTGATTAAAAATAAAAAAAATAAAAAAATAAAAAAATAAAAAATATAATAAATATTGGAAGTCAGAGATCATATTTTTTCACCTTTGCATCCCTTGCCTGTAAGCACTATGTACATAAGAAAATAAATATTAATTGAAAAAGAAAATAAATACATGAATACATGACTTCCCCATTTACTTTTAATATCTTAAATTTTTATCACAATATCAAACCTCAGTGCCCTCCACTGTACTTGAAAGGAATTTCCAAATTGAGCAACTCATAATCTTGAAAACCTGGTAAATGTACAGATTTCTTGGCCCCACTCAGTAAGAATTTGATTTAGTACGAGTAGGATAGAACCTATGGATGTATATATTTTATAAGCTCCCTGGGAGATTGACCACTTGTCTGGTTCAGAAACCATTCTCCTAAGCTTTCTTCCAACTCTTACATTGTATGATGCTAAGCTTAGCTGAATCTCACTCAAAATACATGTTAAGGTTTTAGAAACTGAATAACTTATTGGTTTTTAGAAGTGGGCTCAACTGATTAATATGAAAATTAGAAATCCATATGGTCTTCTCTTTTTATAACTTCTTACTGTAATATGTTCTTATATCAAGGAGGGGTAGTTAACTCTAAAAGTCTCTTAGGCCTACTTTTAATTTTTTTCAAAAAACCTTTTTACAGATAGAATTATATATTCCACTTAATGAGCTCTGCATAAATTATTATCAGGATAAAAACAGCTCTAAAAATCCTGCAGCTTTGTTATGAAAAAGGAAGAACAGTCTGAGTAATAAGATGATTATTTAGATGACTGGAGTCACCAATGGTTTATTTTTCTCCTAAAAAAAATAAGTCCAGAGATTCAGACATTTTCCAAGTTTCAGGATTTGGAAGTCTGCATCCTACAAAGCATACGTTTCCTTTGACACATGATTCATAACAAAGCGTTTTTATGAATCATGGCAAGCTGTGACCCAATTGTTGTTTCCCCAACTTTATAATTATTTACCTTTCTAAGCTAAAATAACTAATCATATTTGAACAGAGTAGAAGGCAAAGGAGTATAAGTTCCGTGTTCTTTACTAGCAGTAAAACTAAGTCATTGCAACAGAGTTTTAAGATAGCTTTCACCTGAAAGAGATCATCTAAGGTCAAACAGCAAGCATGTCAGAATTGAAAGGAAAGGTAAAAACAAATGTATATTATTATCTACTTTAAACTTAGAGTAACAGTTTCTTAAATGTACATAATTCAGAAATTATAAACGAACCACTCTAAAATATGCGGCTGGTATTCTCTATCACAGTCTCTTGGTTTTCTTCATACAATTATTACAACTTATAACTACTTTATGTATTTTCTGGTGTTTTTTTTTTTTTCTCCCTAACTTATCCACTATAAATGAACTTCTTTAAAGCAGAGAAAATTATTTTTGTTTTTCCCCTGGCATTAAGAATAGCACTTGACACATGATAGCTATTTAAGAAATATTTGTTGAAATAAGGCACACAAGCTTTTTTGAATACAGCTATGTTCCCAGTATTATACTAGGCTGACTAATATATTTTGTTATGTTAATGACTTTGTGATATAGGGATTAGCTTGATTTTACAGGAATGGAAATTACAGTTCAGAAGGATCTTGTCTAAAATCTCTTGACTTCCAGTCCAGTGCTCTTCCCACTAAGTAACACTCCTCATAAGAAAAGTTGATGTATGAGCTATATCTCAAAATCCCAAAGGACTTTTCAAAGCACTTTTCTCCAATTCTTGTGAATCCACTCTCCATTTTTAACCTAAGAGCCAACAGTGTTTCAAGCCAACACAATACCATAAAACGTTAACTGAAACAGATTCTAATACAGTTTGTTCATTTTTATTGAACCACAAAATAACAATAGATAATATGAATATAAAAGCCATAGGAAAACAAAACTCTTTAATTTATAAACCAGGTAACTTTTTACATTCATTCTGAAGCCCTGGCTAAGATTCTGTTGAGGAGTGTGGCCTACTATGTCAAACCCTGAGTAAAATCCTTTACTCCTTGGCCCTCCTAAGAGATTTGTTTTATTTTACTTTAGGTTCTGGGGTACATGTGCAGATCATGCAGGATGATTGAATAGGTACATACATGGCAAGGTTTGCTGCCTTCATCCCCCCATCACCTGTATCCCCTATTTCTACCCCCATTATCCTTCCTCACCCTCCCCAGGCCCCTCCCTCCCCACTGCCACCCCCTACCAAGAGTTTTACAAGTTTCTTGGGCTATATTCACCCTAGTCACCCTTGAATTGGTTTGTAGCTTCCACCTGAAAACTCAGAGTGAGAAACCAATAAATTAAAATTGAATAAAGTTTTAAAAAATCATATTAAACATTTCTCAGCCACTCCTAGCAATTTTCTCTGCTCTGCTAGAGTTTCTCTTGTATCTCACCTCCTCTGCTTCCCTCTACTCATAATAGTTGCATGTCTCATTCAGAGTTTATGCCTTTTGTTGATTGATGTAGTTTGGACATTTGTTCCCTTCAAATCACCCATTGAAATGTGATGCTCCCGTGTTAGAGGTGGAGTTTAGTGGGAGGTGTTGGATCAGGGGGCAGTTCCCTCATGACTGACTTGATGCCCCTACATGGTAATGAATGAATTCTCACTCTATTATTTCACACAAAAACTGGTTGTTTAAAAGACCTATCACCTCCTCCTCTGTTTCTTGCTCCTTCTTTCACCAAGTGACTCACTTTCTCTTCTGCCATGACTAAAAGCTCCTTGAGGCCCCATTAGAAGCCAAGCAGATGCTGGTGCCATGCTCCTTTATAGCCTGAAGAACTGTGAGCCAAAAAAACTTATTTTCTTTATAAATTACCCAGTGTCTGGTGTTCCTTTATAGCAATAGACAATTGACTAAGACATGGGTAGTATTGTTTTCTTCTTACCCCTTCTCTTCCAGCCTCTAAAACACCAACAACAATAGAAAACAATAACACCTATTACTCATCTTACATTTATCATCTGCCTGGTACTATGCTAACTGCTATAAATGAAGGAATGCTCTGTTACTGTCCTAGTGGCCAAGGTGTACATACTATTATTAACTCTATTTGATACAGGAGGAAATAGAACGCAACTTTGCCTAGTGGGCTACCACTGTGTAACTCTGTATCTGAGCCACTCCTAGCAATTTTCTCTGCTCTACTAGGGTTTCTCTTGTATCTCACCTCCTCTGCTTCCCTTTACTCAAACATTCCTATTAATGTCTCATTTAGAGTTTATACCTTCCATTGGTTGACATAGTTTGGATATGTGTCTCCTTCAAATCACATGTTGAAATATGACCTGCAATGTTGGAGGTGGGGTCTGGTGGGAGGTGTCAAATAAACCTCTTACTTCTCAAGTAGACTATTCTTAGAAGAAACCTGATGACAGTCAACAAAAATAGTCATGTCTCATCCCACTATAACCACTACCTTTTACTCACTATCCTTAAAAGCTTCCAGCCACAGTCCCCGCAGAAGAAAAATAATAGACTTGCATAATCCAACTCTACCCTACCTGGACAGACTCAGTTTCTCAATGCACACAGATGAAACAGAGAGGGCCCTGGTCTAGAAATCAGAGCACCTAGGCTTCGCTCCTTCATACATAAAATAAAGGTTTCTAATATCCTCTTCCTTCTATTTATCTGTATCCTTCAAACACGCATTGCTCCAGCCACTTAAAGCTATTTAAC